AGATAGAAATATTTTAATTTTAAGATAGGTCAGGCCGGCGAGCGGTGAAGCTAAATGTGCTGAGGCCACAACAATATTATTTCCTATTTAACATTTCCGCGCACGCAGGCAAGGGAGTCCGGTTGTCGCTGAGTAATTCGGCCCGATGAGAGGAGGTACGACTATCGTGTATGTGAAGCAACAGTCGTAGTACGATTATTTTGATTTTGTATTATTGTTTTATGCTTTTAATAAAAAATGTTTCCGACCTATCGAATCTTATATTATKTTTTATTACTAGCCACACAATCCTGCCGTACTCTTTGAATCCAACCTGTAACCCGTTAATTTATGGGCATTGTTCGTGCCATACGGAGTAGTATTCCTCGCCCTATCGTAAAATATTTCTTATAATAAAATATATAAAACCTTATATTATCTGTGTGTTGTCATTGAGGCTTCAGCCAAAATACGTTGCATAATACATGCGATTCGGAACACAGTCTGTCGGCCCTCTGAAGACTGATCGTCACTAACAAACGCTGTATAATCGGACACGTTTGCCGTCGGGTGCCGTATAATATACCAACCTTGTTCGGTAGCGAATGCTACATGTTGAATCATATTGGTAACACAAGGTCTCTTTCCTCACCAGATAGAACAATAGCATGGCCTGTCCATAATTTCATTATCTAATGACTACGGCACGCAACACGGCGCTATGCAGCAGCATCCGAAGAACATCGACGAATGAATGTCCTTGGCGTGGACAACCGCCGCAGACGCCTCAGTCTACGAGCACTATCATACGGCGGCGCGCAACCAAAGGGGGGGGGGGTCCCCGGGTCCAGGCCCCCCCCTGAGTGTTTATAAAATGGAACATTAATTAATTTGGGAATATAATAATACATTGTAAGTATAATAAATTTTGTTAACCAACTAAATAATTTTGATAACAAACCTTATCAGCTATGACTTATTGTCATTTTCTCATATCTTAGTCCGTGATATCAATGGATCGTAGTAAGTAAATTGTAGGAGAGGACGACGTAGTCCGTGKCACGGTTATCTACTAAGGTTGGAGCACGGCACGTTATCACATGTTGAAGTGGCGTGACTAGTGAACTAAAAGCGCTAGTAGTAGTCGACCYGAWTTTTATATGTTAAACATACTAAAATTTATAGTTTTGTACTACTTAAACGTAAAACAATTATTTTTATTGAAAAATTGTTTGAAGTAAAGATGTTTGATATTAAATTGCTCATTGATTCAAC